TTTGTGCATGCATGCAATCTGTAACCATATCACATTCTCTTCTGTAGTTTCTGCAGCTATGAGGGAAAGGGACTCTTGCAGAACTGGGTTGCCAGATTAAACCCAATGCATGATGAGTTTCACAACCCCCCCTCGCCCCCCCCCCCCCCCCCCCGGCTTGGTAACAGTATAGCTGGCAGAAGTGTGAGGGGGGCTGGAGCCCATCACGGTTTGTGGGTCTTCAGAAAGTCCTGTTCCATTCATAGTAGGTACAAAAGCCACTTTGCTGAGGAAGGATTGGTAGACTTAATCCATCCAATGTGAAGGATACCTGCCAGTTCAGAAGAAGCCTTGCTTTCATGCCTCTTCTTGAAGAGGTGCTGTGTATTCTAGCCAGGTTCAACAAAAATGAAGTTGTAAGATTTTTTTTTTTTTTGGTTCTAATGAAACCAAGGTGCACAGTTCGTTCTTCCGACGAAAAATCCAATTATCTCCATTTAGTGAGAAATAAGTGACTTTATGTAGCTTTTCCCCCCTAAAGGTTAGGTATTCTTCTAAAGGTTAGGTGTTCTTAACTTGCCTCTGCATGATTTGTCTTCAAACAGAGCAAAGACCCCCTTCAGCCACCTCATTTTTCTTTTCATCAGAAAGGCTGGCTGTAGTTTTGTACCCAAGGTACTTCCTCTTTTAAATGGACCAATTGAAGATTAAGCCAGAAACAAACTCACACCACGGTATTTAAACCCAGCCGATCCGTAACTTCCACTGTAACCTTTCCATTGATTAAATGCTTCTGAAAAGCCTCACCTCTCTGCAGCCAGGAGCAGCTGGAATGTAAAATGATAATGCGCAAGTTGCTAGCCTGCATTTTCATTTACTAACAGTATTAGTGGCAGCTGGATAGAAGGGAGATAACCGATTAAGAGTTGTGGATTTGACTTTCTAGTAGGGATGCTGGGGACCCAGTTAAGTTGGGGGGGGGGAGTTGGCACTGACAACGACTTAGCAAGGGTGTATCCTCTCTCTTGCCTCCATAATAAGGTAAGCGTTTATTGAAATCACAGAAAGCGAGATTCTTCTCGGTACCCAAAGATACCAATCCGTTCCAACAGATTTGCAAGACAAAATATAACAGGCTGTTTAAAACTCCCAGAAACGGGGTCTCTTGAGACCATCTTTACAACTGACAAGATTTCACAGCATCAGTGAATAGGGAGAATGAGCAGAGACAGTGGCAGTTCCTTCACTACAGGTATATAGGCCACAACAATAAGGGTACAGTCAACTTTTCACACTCACTCTATGAAGGTCTGCCTACTGAATATACATCAGTCCCAAGCCAACTCAGTGGCAGTTAGTGATTCTGGGTGCCGTTACGCCCTTTTATTGACACTCGGCTTCCCAATTTGCCATTAACCTCAAGGTACAGATTCCTACTCAGTGTAGGGCTTTCTGACTCCTGAGAAACCTCTACACTCAGATGAGCTGGCAAACCTATTGCCATTAGTAGAACCGTAAAAGAAGAAACTTAGCACCTGTACAATTATCTGTGTGTGTACACAGACACACACGAGTTCTGTAACCAAGGGAAAAACCAGAACTATGAGGTTCAGCATAAGCCTTTTCTCCTGTGTTCAAAGCCTTCCTGGTCTCATTTGACACAATCACAGAAAGCTTCCCTAGAAGGATTAGCATTATCCAGATGGAAAAGCAGAAAGACGTGTTATCCCCTCTTAAGCACTTCCGCATTCTTTCCTTTAATGAACTGCAAAGAACAAAGGGAAAATGTAATCCAACAGCCATTTACATAATTACCACCAGGGTAAACAATGTTGCAGAGGAACTCATAATATATCGACCATTTTTTAAAAAGTACAAACACAAATGGCAGATCACCGGGGCTACGGTGGCCCCCGGTTATTATTCAACAAACTCATTGAGCAGCAGCAGCAGCTTGTTAAAAAAAATAAATAAATATCAAGGAATGACAAAAAAAGGAGAGAGATCACATTTCCTTTGGCATTTGAAAGTGATTTACATGACTGCAAGAAAAAGAAAAAAGAAAGCAACTATCACCAAATGCGTAAACTGGATGCAAAGAGATCCATATCATCCCCCCCCCCGCCCCGTGTGTGTGTGTGTCCCAGTAACTTGGAAGTCATGGATAAGCTTTGATTGCTGCAGAAAACAAACCCTGCGATTGGTTAAGCTTACGCCCATCTCTTCAATTTCTCTATTTTGCATCAGATGCTTGACGGTTATTGTTACATGACTGATCAGCAGAAGGAGTGATGGAGTCGTCGTAGTCCACTGTCTGATCTTCAAAACGGACTGTATACTTTCCTATCTACTGTACAGAAGAAATATCGGAAAGCAAAACACTGTAGTCGCACTTGATATCATCCTCCGACTGTGCCCTCATATCTTTGCATTTTAGCTCAGAAGTAACTGATGCAGTTCCGTAAAGATATTGTAACTTCCAACAAAGATATGAGTGTTCGGAGTTTATAAAACTAATGATTCAGAGGTTTTAGATCTCTCGGGATGAATAAAAAGATGGACTATATACAAGTGTTTTAGCAGACATCAATTCAGAAGAGACTTCTACTGGCTTTTAACATATGTACAATTAAAAAGAAGACGACTTCCAAGTGTCAAACCACGGAAAATGCAGAGAGGGACATCTAAAACTCTTTATAAGCAACCCCTACCCAAAATTATGTCCAAAATTCGACTAGGAAGCTATTACCAAAAATCTGATTGCACCACAGCAAATACTGGAGAAAACGGTGGCATTCTCAGAGTTAACAGAGAATCAGTTCTTCCCAGCAAAATTCATTCTATCCAGAATTTATTGGAAGAGGTTTGATTTCTGCGTAAGAAACAAAAGAGCAGCTCCACTTGTTTGTGCTATGTCCAAATATACCAAACCTTTATACAATAGTGTAGAAATTACAATGGTTGAAACACTTTTACTGGTTATTCAAAATATACCACCTGGAGTGGAAAGCTAGGCTACTTTAAATGGCACATACCCACAAAATTCTGGAGAGGTTCTAGTGTGATATTGTAAGTTGCGTGTGCAGCTGGGCGTATGGGTGGGGGTGGGGGGGGAAGGGGAAAGGAAGAGGCGTGGGATTGCTATTCATCATCGGGCGGTGAAAACATTTCTGAGTAGGCCATCCTTTTGAACGATGAGCACGTCCGGAAAGTTTTTAGGAAAAGTTACAAGAATGAATAGTCAAGTACTTAAAAGGGTGCTCTGTTCAGTTTACCCTACTTTTTTGTTTTTTAAATGTCTAAGTAAAGTACAAGCATGCAAATACAAGGTCAGTCCACAGGCACGCAGGATCCATTTTAAAAAACGGTTAAGGTAGCTGGGATGAGTGACATCAACAACTGATGACTATGGATACAATCAAGTGACGTGGTTCTGAGTAATTCTTAAAGTTCAAAATCCTGACACAAATTCCTGCTAGTCTTGGTCACACCGCTAACTCTAAAGTAGGCATGTTGTCCCCCATTGTTTTAGCCAAGCTCAAGGAATTTACAATATTTAGTAAGAAAAAATTAAAGTATTTCCCCCTCTTTTTTTTAAATTTACACAGACGTTTAATTAGCTTTATTTACAGAGCATGTTTCTTTTTCAGTCTCCAATAGTGCCTAGATAGCATCAGGCAAGAATGCCAGTTTTAAAAGAGAATCTATATAGAAACCTAAAAATAAGAGATGGTGGTGCTGCTCCTCGAGAAAGGGTAAGCTGGACTACAGAAGCAGTTCTCTGCACATGGCTCAGTTACTCAGAAGTAGTTCTGTTGCTGTCTCTACATCCCAAGATTTTGATGACAAGGCCACTATTACTGCATTCTGTAAAGAAAAAGGAAAAAAAGGAATCAGAGCATGCAGCTTTTCTTTACACAAACTCAGAACCTAGCCAAGAAATTACTCATATTATTTTGATCTCAGAAAATTAACCAAAAATCAAGCCTCAAATTAATTTCTCTGAACTTTCAGAGTCACCAAAAACTGTTCACCATGGTGTTAAGTGAGCAGAAAGGGGGCAGAGGGGGGATGAGGCAGGGTCAGCAAGTGCATCCTTGTTTGTCTGAGACTTACCCTATCGAAGCCCATAGCACAAAGGTTTTCTATCTTTTTGGTGTATTCTGGACTAGAAACTGGTGCTCCAGCATACACATGCGCCCAGAGTCGAGCTGTCTGTTTAAACATTTCTGGATTTTGTTTGTACTATGCCAAAGAAAGAGAGAAAAAGAAAAAGTGAACTCTTGTTCAAAAACACAAGGGGAACTTTTGCATTCAAACCAGCGACACCCGTTTCTGCAAGAAAGAGTCTTCAGTCTGGCATTAACCTGAGTATTAAGGAAAGATATTTCTTTGTTCATGAACTGAGGTTATTATGAGGTTTTCAGTCTGGGTGATTTGCTGCTTTTGATTCTTGTTGTTTCTGCAGGGTTTTTTTTTACTCTTTTATGCTTGATTATTTTATGCTACTTCTTTTATTAGGCATGTTCTACAGGTCTCTTCAAATGACCATATCCTTACACAGCTATAATTTCTGTGTAAGTGTGTACGGACAGGGCCCCAGTGAACAGATGAGGGGAAATCCACCTGCTGCAACTTCACATTGACCAATTAGACACACGCATCACAGATTACTGTGAACACAGAAGCGATAGGCATGGAGGGAATTATCCCTGTACAAAAAGCATCCTTTAGTTGAGTTCCGCTGCTGAGATCCTGAAAGTGCTCGATTGTGGGCTATTCTCAACTGAAACCTGTATGATCTAAGAGACCCGGATTTGAAAAAAAAACCCCGCTCTGCCGCAGAAACCTGCAGGACGACCTTGGGCCAGTCACATAGTCTCAGCCTAACCCACCTCAAATGGTGGAGTTTGTTAGGAGAATGAAGTGTGCCTCTTTGGGTCCCCACTGGGAACACAGGTGGGGCACAAACGAAGTCAATGAATACACACTTCCGAGAGACACCGGCACATGAGAACATCTGTGGAAGATACACAGGAGTTGTAGTTCCCCGCAGAATGGTTCAGCTCTGTTCAGTCGCACTGCATTTTGTATCCTAGCACTTTTCAGGCTGTATAGGCAGTCCGCTGGCTGCTCACTGCTTTACACAAGTCACTTGCAAGGCACAGCTTGGGCACAGTGATTAACTGGATTTACCCTGCAGGCTTACAGAAACGTACTACTGAAAAATATTCAACAGCGTCAACATAACCTGGTGTAGGAAATTGCTCTTGTCTTAAAATGTCACACATATGATAGCAAAATTCCATTTCCACAACAATGAAGATGCTAGACGATTGATTCCACGTTGCACGTGGCTACAAACCTGGTAGCAAGAATCGAAAGCTAATCTTAAGCAATTAGAAACCCAACAGTCTTATCGTGTTGGATGACACATTTCCCACATTTAAAAAAGAAATCTGTTTTAAGAACATAAGAACATAAGAGAAGCCAATGTTGGATCAGGCCAAAGGCCCATCCAGTCCAACACTCTGTATCACACAGTGGCCAGAAATACCAGGTGCCATCAGGAGGTCCACCAGTGGGGCCAGGACATTAGAAGCCCTCCCACTGTTGACCCCCCCCCCCCAAGCACCAAGAAGACAGAGCATCACTTGCCCCAGATCCCCTATCTATACTTTTCTGTCATTATCAGTAGAAGTGTATGCGCTTCAGTTATTCTAAGAAATTGCCTCCTGAACCTTCCCCCTCCCCCAAATACAAAACTATCAAGTTAAAAAGACTTTGGGAGAAACTTTTTTCTAGTTTTCTGACCCCAGGACTGTGATAAAGAGACAGATATTTCAATATTGTACATTTCCAGCCTCCTCGTGCTCAAAACGGGAATTTATTTCACTAGCGTATTTCCTACTGATTATACTTACTGTGAGAAAAAAACCAGGAAACTACACTCCTGATCAGCTTGGGAGCCGCCAGTATCCTTCTGGTGGGGGATATGGGAAATGAAGGAGGAGACCTGGGTTTTTAAAGCTGTACCTGATTTGCTACAACTGCATCTTGTGGATCATCGGGTTCTGCAGCTGCCAAGAGTGCCTGCAGTGATAACAACACTGTCCTTAGAGTCATTGCTGCTGCCCTGAAATGCAAGTTTGAAACCGTCATTTCTTCTACCATGTCACACAATTAGCACAAATGAGGTCACTTATCATACAAACATTCAGGGCTATTTTTGGGCAGGAACGCACAGGAACGGAGTTCCGGCTGGCTCCCAAGTTGGCCACACCCAGCAGGAAATCATTAGCATAATAGGCCACACCCAACAGCAGGAACTCATTAGAATTGGCTACATTAGGGGTGTGTGGCCTAACATGCAAAGGAGTTCCTGCTACAAAAAAGCCCTGGGTTTTGACAACAAACAAGGTAAACAGAATAACAAGCAAAAGGTGGGTGTGGCTGGATGACCACACTTCTGGTAACATGGGAATGCGGCCTAATATGCTAATGAGTGGTGCCGTCAGGGTGTGTGGCCTATTATGCTAATGAGTTTCTGCTGCTGGATGTGGCCTATTATGCTAATGAGTTCCTGCTGGACTTTTTCTACAAAAAAAGCCCTGCAAACACTGCTAAGACTAATACTGCAGCCATAGAAGATATAACTGAGTATTTCAACACATCCTTGCAAGGGCCTGATGGCTCAGCATACGAGGCACAGCCCTTTCCCTAATATCAGAACTGCTGCAAAAGAGAGAGTGCAGGTTGCTTTGTCAATAATTGAAACAGAACAGCATCACAATGCTCCCTCTGAGGCAGGGGTGTCAAACACGCGGCCCGGGGGCCAGATCAGGCCCCCGGAGCGCTTCTATCAGGCTCGCAGTGGAACCTGCTGTCTTCTGCTTCTTCTTCCAGTTCCGCTGCTCCTGCGTCATTGTAGGTTTGCAGCTTACAGATACACACCTGAACAGCCTACTCTAGATTACAACAACACAGACATTTTGATGTAATAATCCAAAGCAAGAGGTGTCAGTTGTCAAACACTGTTAAACAAAATAGTGCCAGAGTGCTGTTTTAAGCATGTTTTTATTTTAAGTAAATAAAAGCCGTTTGTGTCCTTTATAAAGTTTATATCTCCGCTACCTGGCATTACATTTTATGACACACATGGTCCAGCCCAACAAGGTCTCATTTATGTCAGAGCCTGCCCTTATAACAAATGTGTTTGACACCCCTGCTCTAAGGTGTGGCGTCCTGTGAGCAAAAATCCTACTTTGTGAGCTCCTGGCATTAAAAGTTGTGAGTGAGCGATTTGACTGCTGCATACATTAAGTTTGCTCTGGATTCATCCTTCCTGAGCTAAGACAAAAATGTGTGAGCTGGAGGCTAAAAAACGGAGCTAGCTCACACTAACTCAGCTTATAGGGAACACTGTGCAACAGGCCTCTGTGCAATAGCATTTGGGATACATGCTTTCACATTAGCCATCCAAAGGAGCTGGGGATCCATGAAGATTTGTGGGGAGCATCTTGTTTCCCCCATTCTATCCCCCCTCCCCACAATGTTTCTTCTTTCACTCCCTTTGGCAGCCTCCATAACCTGTCTCCTTTCACTGCTTCCTATCCCACTCGTACACCTTTATTCCCCTCCCCCAGTTTTCAGCTTTCCCCCATTCCCTGCTCCTGACAGCCTCCCCGGCTTTCTTCTCTCCCATCTACCTACCTTTTTCTGTTCTCCCTCCAGCTTCTTCTTCTCTCCCCCTTCCAATTCCTTCTTTCCCTCCACTCCATTTTTAACCTTTTCCATCCCTTCCACCATTGACTGACAGCAACTAAAGTTGGGAGGCTTCAGTGATACTGAACATAGAGCCCCGTGGCCAGAAATGTTTCCTTGGGGGTATAAATAGGGGGCAGTTTAGCATGGTGGCCTAACCTGCCGGCAGTACCGTCTGCACGGTGGCTCCGCTACAGTGGCTTGCTCCAAAGGGAGCCATGGCTAAGCAGGAGGGAAGGGAGAGGGGCGGTTGCTGCGTGGCCTCACCGGATCTTCCTGCTTCCGCAGCCGGAAGGTTTGAAGGGAACATGCATGTTAGGAAACATGTCTGTTCAGGGCTGAAATCTGAGGATCTGAAGCCTGCGCTACAAACTGCCTCTTCCCTTGCAAGACAGGGGTGGGAGGAGAAGGGCAGAGAGGAGAGCAAGCCAGCTAGCCAGTCTTCCTCAGTGGGATGGGGAAGACCTACCAGGAGCAAAAATCACTGAAGTACGAAAAGAGGCAACCTGTAGGAAGGCAAGGAGGGGGAGGAAGTTTGTGAGCTCGGTGGGGGCGGGAAGGGAAAGGGGGGGGAATGCTGGTCAGCCCAGGGCTCTTTGGCATCCTGCCCCCTCCCCCTTCCTGTTGTGTTTGCTCACTCACGCCCACCCAGCCTCCAGGCAGCACTTCACCCACCATCGCCTGGAAATGGTGACTGGAAACAGAGCTGCATGTGTGGGATTCACGGCCCATTGGAGTAAGAGGAGCATGACACCCGAAACTGAGGAACCCCCACCTGCACGGGGTGTGTGTGTGTGGCACCCTCCAGGAGAGGGCAGGGCACATCTGTGAGGGGGCATTGCCTTTGCTAGGTCCCCCCCCCGCCCCCCAGGCCCCCCCCCCCCCCCCGTGGCTACAGGCCTGGAAACACAGTCTCCCAAAATCTCAGCAGGCATTCATCTCTTGAAGGCAAAGATGCTGTATCCGTTACTTTGGTTTATTTTTAATGCCCAACTATGTATTTTTTTAGATTTCAGGTTTTCCTGCAAATCAGGGACTTTCATTAGGTTTGCAGACAAACTCATCTTGTCTGTCCCTGGTCCCGTGCTGTGTATTTTCTCATCCACGTTCTCGAGGGAGGTTCAGAATTAGATATAGTGATTGTGGCCTGGTTCTCACTGTGGTCGTAAATCTACATCTGGCTGTGTACCATTTCAAACTGTAGACGGGGACCTGGAATGATGGAATACTTTGCGGGGGAGGCGGGGTTCCTAAGCAGAGGCAGGCAATGGCAAACCATCTCTGTTCCTCTCTTGCCTTGAAAACCTATGGGGTCACCCTAAGTCAGCTACGACTTGACGGCACTTTCCACTACCATTGCTAATACATAAAAACTAGTATGTCAGGAAGAAGGCTAGTTTTCTGTAGTGGGATTGTACTGTATAGAAGAGCATTCCATCATGCAAGCCCTCATCATCTGTACTGTAAATGGTTCCAGGCAGGTTCATCATATCAGTGAAAACTGAGCTAATACTGTATCAGAACCCAAGAGTCTGCCATGCAGTTTGAATAGGAGCATTTATTGATACACAGAACCAGATTCAGGCTAAGTTTTGTTTTGGTTTTTTTACTCCTTTGGTGCTACGCTAACCTCTGGCATGTGAGGAACACTATTTTATTTATTTAAAATATTTTTAGCCCACCTTTCCCCAACAGAGTTTAGTCAACCTACAAAAAGACCCCCAAAGGCAGCAGCAATAATACACATCGATCATTAAACAGTAAATACTGTATACTTGTTAAAAAGATGTGCTCTTGTATCTATGCTTTCCTTCCTTTTGATCTTATTCAAAATGAAGTTAAAGCAAGATTCCTACCTATAAGGACACAAACATAACCAAAATGAATGGTGAGAAACCCTATTATCAAAAGTGGCTTTACACAGGAACGTTCTGATAAAAGTCTAAAAAGCAAGATACCACCAGTCAGCATCTGGCAACCTTCCAACCTCTAACAAAGAATAGACCCATTGCTGCACAGTGTGACACTACTACACAGAGCACTCCATCTTGTACAGCAAACAACCGTAACATTAAACAGCTCATGCATTCTAACGGCTTAAGCAAGAGAGGTTCAGTTCAGATTCGGTGATGCTCCTTCCACTGCTCCATGGTTCCCACTACCTATGATGTCCAAATTTTGCAGGGCTAAGATCCGTACTAACTTTCAAACCAGAGTTTGGGAGTCAAATCTAATCACACCTTGCCAACTTGGATAGCCCCAAAACTATGGCTGGTGGAATCCAAGGAGCAGAGAAACCCATAAGCCACTGAACCGAACCACTAAATTTTTGTCAAGCCATTCAGTTTCCGTTACCATAGCTGCACATCAGGTCTATGGTACTTTTTTTTCCTTTTTAAATGTCAGGTACAAAAGTATGTGGATCACATCCACAATATGTGGATGGGAGACCACCAAGGAAGCCTGGGGTTGCTGTGCAGAGGAAGGCCATGGCAAACCACCTCTCTGCTCATCTCTTGCCTCAAAAGCCCCACGAGATGGAACTTCATGGGATCACCCTGAGTTGGCTGCAAGCTGACACTATGCTTTACCTTTACAGAAGATGAAAATAAACAAACATGTCTGTCCCACAAATCACTTCTGCCTTATTCAATATTTTGCTCTAAGAGACCATCATTTATTTTAAAATGCATCTAATGAAACTGCTGTTTACTTACCATTGATCTTTTAGGATGTCCAAGCATATAGCCCCAGTGACTGAGCTAATATTAGGATGCCATATTTTGGTGATAAACCGCACCTAGAACATTAAAGCTCTTATGAAAATAGCTGCTAAACAACATAACTGGAGCATTCCAAACAGCTGCTATAAATTTTAATGGAAAACCTATATCCCAGTTCTCATCATCCTGTGTCTGGACTAGACTATTTCAGAATGCAGGGCAGGCTTCAGACATTTAATGCACCTTCATATTTTAAAAAGCCCTGCAGATCAAAAATGACATGTCATGTGTAAAAGGGTTCTGCCCTCTCCTTTGTCTCAGTACAGTGCAGACACTTCAGCTACTGCTTGTGAGAAGTAGCAAACACGAAGCAGGTTATCTGGATTACTTTGGGGGTAAACACCTAAATTAAGAAGCCAGGGTTACATCCAGAGAGAACTAATGACCTGGTAGATAAGAATGGAACCTCTGGTTGCTTAGCAGGGCTTGCAGTGTAGCAAGGCCACAGAATCCAGCTATCTCTGCTACTTGCTAATTTCTTTCAAAGTTGTCA